TACGCGCGAAGCGTGCGTTTCTGTAATCAGTTCATTTCCTCGATCGGCGCGCTCCGTAAACAGATTTATCCAGCGAAAGGTGCAAACGGCACAAAGTTTACGCTTCCACCAACGATTTGAATATTTTTATTTCGTGAGGGAAATAAAAATTTTCTTATTTATAGAAATACTAGCTGTTGCCCGCGATTCGTTCCGGCAGTGTTTAATAAAAATGTAATTCGTTTTTACTCTCTTGTTCTAGACATACTCGTAGTAAGAGTCAATTCTATCAATAAGATTAGCAGTTTTAATTGAAAGAAATTAATTATATAAAGTTTTGTCAATAATGCACTTCAGCGCGCCATCTCGAATTCAACTATTTAACTATAACTATGATTGAATCTCACTGTCAAATTTTATTCTATAGAAAAGAGCTGTTTTGAGGATTTTCCCGGCAATTATTCGAATTTTTCTCACATTTTAAACCTTCCCTAGACCTCCACGAATAATTCAAGACCAAGATAAGATAAATCCGTTCAGCCGTTCTCGAGTTTTAGCGAGACTAACGAACAACAATTCATTTTATATATATATATATATATATATGAGCCGCTTATTTTGAAAGTGGCCTAACTCCATTTATCTTCAAATCGAGATATTGAAAGTTTTGCGTTTCAATGAATTTAAAAATATACGTATAAGATACTAAGGCGAGGAATATTGTTTTATAACTCTTTTTCTTATTCGCTTTTTAAATTATTAATTACTATTTCTTTTCACTATCTGAACTAGATAGGATATTGTATTGGACTTGGTTGCATATATAATTTTTGATTATGTCAATTTCGGGATTATTCTGTACGATGTTTGATTTCTATTTGGTTCAGCTAGTTCCCGACGTGTTTTCGTTGCTACTCTGGCTGTCAATAGTCGAGACGGCCGTTCATACATCACAATGACATGTAATTTTCAATACCTTCATAGAAATCCAAGGCAAAGCAACACAATACGACATAGAACCGGATTTACAACGGCTTTACATTTCCGGTATCCGCCTCAACACATCCGGTTACAATCACAACCACAGCGCAGCCACAAAATGGCGGTGTACCTAAATATACTAAACATAAACATAATTGATATCTAAATCATCATTTTCGTAAATCTAAATATAAATCCGATTCTGTTCTATTTTCAAAATTACAAAACAGGAAAAAGAAAACTTTGCAACTCACGTCAATCATTTTTCTACTCTACTTTTTTCTATCTTTTTGATACTTGTATCAGAAAAAAGAAGAAATAAAACCATGCAGCTGTGTTTCATCACGGTGTGCACTTTCGTATTGTATTCACATTCACTCCCCTGCGAGCAAACCACGTGCAGCGATAAGAATGATGGCGGCGGTACTTGCACGCGTGCTTTTCGAAAAGATTGATTGCGTTTTCCGTTCATTCTCGTTCATTCCCCTTCGATTTACCATCCATTCAGCGCCACTGATTGATGTGCGCGGCCATAACCGGAAGTATTATCTGTTTTCATTCATGTGTGTATTCATTTTCAAATGCCAAGATGATTATTCGTTTGTTTCGTTGTTAGTACTTGATGAATTGCATTTTGGGTTGCCTACCTTACAAAAATTCAATTTTTATATTGATTTTCATTTTGTTGGAAATAAGGATGTTAAAAACCATTCGGGGGTGGATTGTAGGTGCGTATTTTCATTAAGCGTCGTCTTCCGCTTCCTCTCCTGGCGGTCGTCGTCCCATATACCTCTATTACTTCCGCTTCCTTCTTATCCTTTTTCGTCCGCCGAGCGTTAACGTCCTTTTTCCTGTCGCCGCGTGCAATATGTATACTCGGTGGCGTGCGTAGGTATAATGCGTGTAATTCGCACTCGGGCGAAACCCAGCCGGCAATTCAACAAGAAAATAGAGTTTTAATATTGCGCACAGCCCTCGGCAGCATCTTCCAATTTATTGCTCTTCAACACTCTATCCTTTCTGTTTCTCATAAAAGAAGAAGAAAGTCAATAAAAATGAAGGCAAGTGTATCTAATCGCATCGAGCAGGATAGAAAATTCGATTAAAAAATGGCGTATAAAAACGAAGTGACGTCCGCTAGTTTCGGAACGAGAGTAAAAGCCGCCGGAAAACGAAAGTGATAGTGGCGTACGGGCAGTTAAACTCGTGGGAATTCGATCGAAACAGGCTTTTAATATTTATCGCATCATTAATCCCGTAATTTATCGCTTTTCGCTGCTCGAGCATTAATAAATAAAGCGTTTTGAGACGTTGCGGTGTATGTTGTGTTGCATACGTACGAGTATATTGGCCGCATTGTGCGCGCAGACACAGAGTGCACAAATTTCAATTAATATCCATTGTTCGCTTCCGTTTCGCGTTTTGCGCGCGCGTCCAATTTGCAGATTTACGTGTAATCATGAAATTCAAACAGCGCAACAATGGCACCGCCCGCACGCTGTCGTGATTATTTGCCTAAAGGCCCCGAATTCAAACGCCTCATGCATCATGGCGCATTATTAATTTTAAATGTTTTACGCGTCTCCCTGGCGTCGTCTTCCATTTAATTTCCAACTCTGCGACTTGACAATTCCCTGCTTTGGATTCATCTCATCATGGCACAGCAGCATGCGCGACTGTTCAAATAGCTCACGATGTTGCCCAAAACGGGCGCGACGATGCAATTACGTCGAAATGCCGTAATGTTTGCTTTGGGAGCAGCGGGAGTCATCTTTATGGGATTTAATTAGTGATACTAGCGACATCTGCGAGTAGATTTGTGTAATCACCGTTTAAAGTACTTGAAAAAAATTGCTTTATTCTGATTAGTTAAATCTTCTCAATTTGAGGCCATGTTGAGTTTGTTCTCCGCATGATTATAGAATATTTTACGTTGCAAGCAAGTTCCCAGCTCGTTTTTGCTAATTTTCCTTCTGAAACAACGCAAATAAATAAAATGTTATTTGGGTTGCCTAGCGTGATGAAATCAAGAAAAGTGCTTGTATTACTCGCCGGCAACATTCTTTTGTTTAATAATCCGGCTCGCCGGCTGCAAATTGAATTTTCTCCGGCGGGAAAAACAGCTCGGAATTTGCGCGCCGCTTACACTTACTTGTTCTGCAGTTGCATTGTTAAAATGTGCGCGCAATTTTCGCGCATTTTCGGATGTTACGCTTTAAACTCTTCGCCGTCGCGTATTGTTTTCAAAAGGATGAGTTTGCCGGCAAACGAACCGCGAAAAGCGAAAACAATACATAATACAAACTCGCGCTCGTTGCGGTCGTTTGCACTGGTGACGTGGTGACAATTATAAACATCGTTTTAATTAAATTCGCGCTCGTTTTCACGCGCGCGCGAAACTTTGTGTTTGTAATCATAAATGCGAAAAATAAACTTTAAACGTAAATTTAGCGCTTTGATATCATGTTCATTTTAAGTATTTCGGGACGTTATTTTGATACCGAACACGTAACGTAGAAATTCAATTGTATTGGTTTCGTGTTATTAAAGTTGCCTACGCTGGTGGAATTTACAAGCAAGTTTTGACGGTTATGAGCGCCGAGTCTCCCGGAGATCTGTCGATCGATATTAAAGCATAAACTGGAAAATTGGAAATTACTGCTTGGCCACAGCGCTCTGACGATGTGCAGAGGTATACGCGCGGATAGATTACAATCTTCTGGGAGCCACGAGGCGATGAATTCCATTTAGCATTTAGCATTGCAAAGCCGAGGTCATCAGGATCGATCAGGACATGATTGCTTCGGATTGTTTCCATTAACAATTACAATTTACATAAAATTTTTAATTAAACAAGAATATTTCTACAGCTAATTTCAATATTTAATTAATTTTTAATATTAGAAAATATTTTTTAATTACTTTTGGATGATTTACGTGCGCTTCCTCTTCCTTCCCCTGGAAGCTATTAGTAAATACCGAAGCACTTTGCATCTCCTGCATCAAACATCACGCTAAATTATGATTAATAGCTTAATGCTTTTATGAGATTTGGCCGTACGCCATCGGTCGCACCCTCCACCACCTTCCACCGCAACACAACGTCTTTTACCTTTCGAGGAGGCATTCTAAGAGCTGGGGCTTGTGATTAGGGGAAGAAGGAAGCGCCACACGTTGTGCCACTAGTGAATTAGTATTTAGTTAGCTCAAATCTAAAATTCCGCAATATTCAACGCGCCTCAGGGGGGCGCAGCGCAACGTTTACAAATTCCGGCTGCTTGAGGGCTGGAAACACGCCAAGCATTCATCAAAATGAAATTAACTCGTTACCACGATGACTTCCAGTGCTTCACTCCTCCACTCTCAAGTAATTCCCAAGGGTTGTGCTTGAAATCTCCTTTAAATTTGCGTTTTACTTCGAGAATCTCAAGGAAATATATTTTTAAACGTCAGCCATGTTGTTTTTCCTCGTGTTTTGTGTTGCCTATGCGCAATTAATGTGTAATTCCGTTGCTGCTGAAATTGACGCGCAAACTGTGATTATAAACCGTGAACTTTGACGCGAAATGAACACCGCATCGCGCGGGGCGTGAGGTGCATTACGATGCGGACGGGGCGGAGGCGGCGCACCTTAAATTCAAAGCTCACTTCATTATTATACAATCCAGCGAGCGCGCTCCGCATTAAGCTGCGACGGTTAAGTTCGGTTTGCACCGTCGAACGTTTAACGGTTCGAGCAATTACTTTACGTCAGTGCCGATGGCAGCGGCGGCGGTAAGGCGGCGGCAAGGCGTTTAAATACAATGAATCTTTAGTTTGCAGCTGGGCGCTTTTGTGATCGCGATCGGTAAACTACGGCCAACTAAGTAAAGCCAACCCAACAACAACCAACAACCGAGACGGTTAATCATTTATCGCTAACTACGTGTTTTAATGCCTCGCTGATTAAATCGTTAATCAACTTATGTGCACCGCACAACTTCTAATTATATTTTCACGCTATGTCTATTTATTGGTTAATTATTAACTTGAAATTGGGATTTTGTGTGTGTGATATTGATTATTTATTTATTGGAATGTTCGATAACAGGTCATGTATGGCGGAATTTTACATTCACATTTTGTTATTGTTGTGTCGCCATCTACTGTTGAGGTTCTTGATGTTTTAGTTCCTATTCTGAGGAGTAAATTCTTGCCGAAACGACAATGTAATTCTAAAACAAAGTATTTTAACCTAAAAATTAATTTTAGGTGGTTTTTTTACTCACCGTTAGGTTTGCCTCTGAAGATTTTCATTGTTCTTTCATCACTTGCAGTTGCTAAAATAGAAATAAATTGAAAACTGTTAATTTTAGATCAAATATTACTATTTTTTGGTTGAAAATGCCAAAAAGACAAAACACATATCAAAAATTAAATAATTTGATATTTAAAAATAGAAATGAGTATTTTCAGTGATTACATAACCTCAAAAAACGAAAATGTTAATACTTACGACAGTAAAAATCACTTGGACAACAATCTCCGATATTATAATAAACCGGCGCGCAGAAATTCATCACTTTCGAACTGTGCCACAGTTCCATCTCACAGGGGATATTATTACATACAGATTCATCGTACTGCCCACGCCAATTGCGATTACAAACACAAGATTTACACAATTTTGCGTTTGGTGGATAAAAATTTCTCCTTCATGATAATACGTGCCCTCCACATTACAACGGAAAGTGTTTGATGAATTAGATTCTAAAAACAAATAAAATAAATTACAAACAAATAGACTATATTTAAACTTACTGCAATTGTATCCGGTTGCACAACATTGCTCCAAACTGTATGTATAATAACAATCATCGTAGTCTGGCAGTGGCAGATAATCACAATCGGGTCCCAAACAATCAAAATCTAAACTAAAATACAACAAATAAACAGAAATAAACTCAATTTGTTGATTTTATGATGAAATAAATCATATTTACTCTCTTTGACATTGACATCTGCTTGTTCCGCAAGATGGCGCAATGGAATAATCGACTTCTTCGTGAATATTTGCCTGGTAATACCCTCCTGCGTAGAAACACTGCCCCGGGGCGTTGGGATTAATATTGCTGCAATCAAACTGTTCGGGACATGGATTGCGTGGATCGCTGCCCCGAATCGGTCTGCAGTATTTGTTGTCATAGAAACGAATCGGCTCGTTACAGTCACCTGAAGAAATAAATTTTATTTTTATTTATTTTAGTTTTATGACTTTATGAATGAGTTTATGTGAAGTAATTTACTTTTAATTGCAATGAGTTGAACACTCATAAAGAATGCAAGTTGCACCCATTCGCACATCTTGACAGGAGTTTTTTGTTGCGGTGTTTGGTGAAGCTGGCGCTTTTATGCATACAGAAATTCATAAGTTTTGTATGCAATGTGTTGGCAACATGTTTATTCATTCACATGTTATGATTCAACTGTGGAAATATAATATAATCTGCCTCTGTTTGCGTCTTCATTCAACAACACGTAATCCGTTGCCATTGGCTTGATAAACAGTGGCGAGGAATCTTATCAGAAAATTAATATTTGCGTTGCACAATGGCTGGCTTCTTAAAATCGCGTCTTGCCATCTCGCACGGAGATAGCATCCCGAGTGACGGCTAATTGTGCAAACCGAAATTAATAATAGCTACGGCGATAACATCTCCGACAGCCACACCAGCGCGACGACGACAAATTCGCATGACGTCTAACTAACGCTTTATTAGCGAATCTAAATCTAAACTCTCTCTCGGCTCGTTTGCCGGTGGTGATGCTGACGCCGCGCCGATGCAATGTGCAAGCGCTCGATGTCGGCGATTTCCTTCGGGCTTCAGATGCCTCGGATGGCGTTTGTCTTGCTCTTGCTCTTGGGAGTTCAAAGACCGATTATGCCGCAAGTTAGATTAGTTCGGCTTAATTGCCGGCCGTATTTCAGCCGCACCGAACTGGTGTGTACAAATCGTTTCAGTCTGGTCGCTGGCAGCGGCTTCAACTTTAGTTTCAACTTCCTTGAGCTGAAAAACAGATTTATTGCGGTCGCTCGTCAGTATTGCGTTTCGCCGCGTAAAATTTAGCTGTTTTCGAAGGAAATTACTAGATATACTTAGTATCTGTTTGTTTGTTGCAGATGCGATGATGTGCAGAGGTCTATAGAACTTTTAGACCGAGTTTTGTCCGAGTTCGACGATGTTGAGAATGCGAATCAGGTTCAAAACGTAAGTGTATTTTACAATTTAATACATTAAGAACAAATCATTAATTATTGATAAATATATTATTTAATAGATTTTTAAATCAGCTTTCATTTGATACCAAGTTTGTTAAGTTTAAAAGTCGGAGTGCAAAGTTATCAACAAATTTGTTTAACATGTTTGAATTCAAGTTCAAATTTTCCTCGTGATGATGCGCTTGTGTACAAACATAACCTCTCAGAACTACTTGTTGTGTTGATTCAGTGCTGTATATTTTGTTTATTTGCGATGTTTAGGAATTAGTTTTAAATGGTGCAAGTGATCATAAATATGAAAATTGTAGATCCAGCAGATTTCCGGCACCGCAACCACCCCGCAGCAGGTAGCAACGACGGCGGTAAACGCCTCGACAACGCCAGATGACGAAAGTCCCTCGCTGGGCCACCAGTCCGAGGATGACGGCTACATGAGCATGAATGGTCGGAAAGCAAAATTCAATCTCGCCTTTAAGCCACTGACCGAAGTGCCAATGCATCAGGAGGATCCAAATGTTGTGCTACCTGAGCCCAATGACTTCCCACCACCACCTGAGGAAGCACAGAGGATTATTTCTAATTTATTGCCTAAGTATGCAACAAAATTTCTTTTTTATTCAATAAAAAATTCTAATAATTTTAAAATTTTGTAGAGTATCACCAGCACATTCAGCTAAAAGAAATGCAAATAAACCAAGAACATCCCCAATCACCCAAATGGCTGCAAGAGAGGTGAGAGTGGAGACAATTCCACCACCACAAAGATTCCAGAATGAAATCATCATCAATGGGGCGCAAATGACAAGTCACAATGCACAACGACGCAAACAACATTGGTACTAGAGTCGCAAACACAAGTTGATTGTTTCTCACTTAAATCTGCTTAAATTTTTATTAATTTGCGTTATTTACAGCCGAAAACACGCCATCAACGTCCATATGGCTGGGAGTCCAATGAATGCCATCCACTGCCGCCGCCCGGCTACCGTTTTGGCAGCCTACCCTTCCAGCACGGAGTGTATCCACTTACATCTCCAACGAGGGTGCCACCACGCACCGTCCCATCAGTCCTGGAACGCCACCGCGAAGTCAGGCGTCGTGGAAGCGAAGATAATCTCTCATCGGACCTCGAAGAACCAGGATTGCGTCCGTTGAGCGAACTTGCTGACGACGAACATTTCTCGGATGATTCACTCGAGGAGATGCTTCCACCGCCGCCATTGGTAAACAAACGCGCGAGTGTCGCCTGGGAAGTTCCATTGGACAACGATGAAACTTACGGTACGCCAGGTCACGCAAAGGTCATCGGTAGAAGACGCCGGAAATCCGGTTCGCAGTCTTCCACCAGTTCGATTCCGAACCGTCTGAAGGAGTTTGACGACTGGCCTGAACCGCCACCGTGCACAACCGAGGATGAAGTCACTTCGCCGTTTTCCGACACCGATGATGTTCACCTACCGCACGAGTTGAGTAATTCGAATCTGTCCGGCACAGGTACTTACATAATTCGTCGAGGTAAGAAAGACAAACGCCCGCAGTTGAGCAGCTCGGTGAATTCGTCATCGAGCCTGAATTCACGGCTTAGTTCCGATCTAAGCATACATCGTTTTTCGGGTGATATGAATTCTCGTTTGAATACGCCTAATTCGAGATACAGTATTGACCTGGGGTCTTCCACGTCGCACTCGCGCGCGCACGAATTAAACTCGCCGAAGTCTCGTTACAGTCTCGATTTGAATAATCGACCATTGAGTCAAGTCGAGTTAAGTTCGCCGTCGCGCTCCAGCTCAAGATCGAGCACGCCGCAGAGCAAGCATGAGTTCCGCAAGCACTCCACCACCTTTGATAATATCAAGTCTTTGATCAAAGAGGGTGTGATTGAGCACTATAATGGTCCACACATTGAAACCACCACCGAATTGAACGCTATGGTTAATCCAATCGTACGAGTTGTTTCGTTGCCTAATGTCAGCGCTGAGGAAGCCACAACACGGCGTGAACTCGCTGTGACCGTCGAAGAGGAGGAAGATTCAATCACTAGCACCAGTGATGATATTTCCCCGCTTCGAAAAATCGAACAAAACATCAGCGAACTTCTGGAGAGACGAGATATTGAAGTTTCTAGTCTTATGCAGGCTGATCTGTTAAAGATGAACGGCGAAATTGGTATGGGTAAGTCTCTAAGCAATGAAAAGAAAAAGAATCGTGATAAACGCGATCTGAATGACATTCAAAAGTCGAACAGTCACAGCGAGATTCTACGCTCGGAAGATTACTACCGTCAGTTGTTAATTGACGAAGGGAATGTTCAGGAGGCGCAGCACCCGCCGAGGCGGACTGGTATACAAAAGTCTGAGAGCGCTAAAGAGATGTTAATCTCACATCGTGAGCGTGAACGCGATAAGGATGCTAGAATCCTGCCGATTTCCAGTTCGGTTGATTTTCCACGTGTTGAAGTTTTGGACTTTCCACCTTTACCGCCCTCACCGGTGCAGGAAGACGATGAGTATTCGGAGATTTTACAATCTCTGGGCGCGTCCAAAGCGAAGGCGGATACTCTACCAACGAATGCGGATCCGCCTGCTGTTCCGCCACATCGTGAACCCTCGAATAGTCTAAAAACACGGTCTATGGATGGTGGTTACAGTCGCGGAAGACGAAATTACTCTTCAGGTCGTAATGAACGCAGGACTCTGCCGAGCGAAATGGAATCCAAGCGCAAGTATTACCACAAGAGGACCTCGCATAGCCCACAGGAAGAACACCACATGCAGACGTCGTGTAGTTTACCGGAAACGCCGATATTTGCTAGAGGGTGTGATATACCACGCACTCCACATAGAAGGGCACCGGATGTGCCTGGGATCAGTGGAAATCAAACAGCGCCGAGGCAAAGTTCCACCATGAGCAGTATTAACACGATTGGCAATATGTCTACGGGTGGGTTTAGAAGAGGATTGTCGAATTCAGGGTTGGAGCAGGCGTATATGGGCGCGGAGATGATGCGCATGGCGGGTGGGCCTGGACGCGGATGGTATCCGAAGCAACGGCAACGGAGACCCGCGTCGATTGAGCATTTGGACCGCTTGGCGCCGGGGCAGAATCCGTGGGATGCGAGCAGGAAGCCGCTGACGCTGCCGCCCAATTTAACACCGAAGTTTTTCAATCGTTCGCCGCGGGATGCTCTTAGGAGGGTGACTAGTCTACTTATAAGGAAAGGTAGGTGTTTTTACTATAAAAACTTAATTTTTATTTTAAATTTGTTGTGATTTTTAGGTAACAATCCTAGTAAGGAAGGTAAAAGGAGAAAGAGGTTACGTCACCGACAATTCATGAAAATGCAAACGGTGAGCAATTTTACTTTCATAGAAAAAATATACTATTTTTATAATTATTAGGTCCTGAAGAAACACAAAAGAAGAAAGGATTCTTTAAGAGTCTGTGGAAACGTTCGCGTCACTACTCCCTGGAGCAACAATAATGCAGCCGGCTGTAATCGGATTTTAACTAGGTAAATAAGCTCTCAAATCAACTAAAACTCTTTCTCAAAAAATGAAAAATGAAAGCAGAATACAAAGCGCCATAAATATGTTCATGTTCTCTATCGTATGATTAACTGGGTATAACACTAACTTTTAACTTTGATTTGGTTTCTAACCCGCAAATCGAAAGCGACTAATTGTATACTAATGAGGAAAAGTATTCGTAATCAATGCACCGCGGACAACTATTTAAAGATACAAATTGTCATTGTTGCGACAATATTTCATTTTCTACTTGGTATATATTTCGAATGTAAGAGTTTTCCAAAAACCTCTTTTTTGATAATAATTATTTTACGTAGTGCGACAATTTTTGATACGCGTTTTGACGACTAATCGCCACGAACTCGAATTAGTGCATAAGAACGAAAAAAAACGACACTCGAAACATTACAAATCGAACGCGAAATTAACTCTTCTAAGTGAAAATCAATACCGACTGCCCTTTCTACTACGAGTTTTTAATTGATATTTGTAAATTACGAATAAGTCCGCACAAAATTTTATTTCGTAGATTCATCCTGATTTTATGTTCAAACTTTAATCTCGAACATTTAACAAAACTCACATCTTAACACCTTTACACCAACTCACCCACCCACACACACATCTAATTAATGAACTAACAATTAAGTATATGAAATGTTTAGATAGTCGAAACACGTACCTTTACGATTACTAAAACAAAGCAAAAAATGAAAACTAATGTTCACATAAAAGTGCCCCGATTTTATATGATTCGAACTTGGAAGTTATAAACAAAATAATTATATAAAAGTATATTCTAATATTATATTTTAGTCGGTACGTAAAATTTAAACAAGACATATTTAACAAAACAAAATGGCGGCTAGCGACAGAACGATTAAACTTACAATCTCAACTAATAATACAAAATAAAAATAAACTAGAATCAAAACCGATACGTACACATACAACGTTTTTGAGTTGTTGCCAGTCCATCAAAAAAGTTCACTCTACGCGTTTCTTAGGTTTAGACACGATTTGAGCCAGAGGAAGAAAAAGTATTTATGTGTAAATTAGTGTTTGGAGAGTAAAGGCAAAAAAAAACATTGAAACTTTGAAAGGGTATGAGGTGTGTATTTCGAATATGGGCTTTTTGACAATATTTTTAATACTTTATTAACGTTATGATATATAATTTGTATAATTTTATTTTTAAATTAATTTGTTGGTTATGTTGAAGAGTTTATTTTTTATTTAATTGTTTTGTTTGTTTGTGGGAATTGTGATTCTCGAATGAATTTGTATTACATATTATTTGTTTGTCTCTTATGTAGATTTGTACAGTCTCTCTGTCTTGTCACGCGTCAAAGGGTGATAAATTAACACAAAATACATATTTGTAGTATGTGTGTCTGTATATTACATTATATTCTTTTATTTACAAGCATTTATTAATATTATGTTAGGAGTATTACTTGTAAATAATAAAGGGCTTCATCAAAAATATGTTTGGTGTGTATTGTTGTACCTGAATCTGGGTTTTTGGAAGCGTTTTTAAGGTAAGTGTATTGATACCTATGTGTCTTTGGGCATATAAACCATTACATGATGAAATTCAACAGATATTATTTATTTACTACTTGGTATGCTATTTTATATACAGATGGCTGTAGCGTGCGCGTTTTATTCTAATATTTTAGTTTTGTTTGTGTATCTTCTTTGCGTTGTGATTTGAAATCGGTTTGAAGAAATCCCGAACATGTTAAAACTTGTTCAATCGGCCAGGTATAGTGAAATAGACGCATATCTGTTTGTGCACTATGTAAACAAGTTTTTTAGTCGCCTTCAGCGCGCGTATCGCAAAACTGATAGTGACCGCGTGTTGTCGTCGTTGGCTGTGTGCAGTTCGGTGCATACGCAGTTTCATTCCGGCTATTGACTGAATCGCGCGTGTTCTTAGCGACTCGTTTCGTTTCTTTATATAATAATTAAGTAAATCAATTGATATTCAATAAACAATCGAGGGCGTGAACGAAGTTTTACTAGTGTGATTGCACGCGTTAAACGTTTATCAATCGAGAAAGAATCGTCAGTTCACCTGTGTGCGCGTGTGAGGTTCCGCAGGCCGTCGGTGATTGTTCTTCGCTTGTGGAATTATACTGAACTCAATTTTGGAATAGAACCTGCAGATTTTCAACTAGCAAAGAAAGGAGCTACCATGTAAGTAAAATTACCTAATCGAAAAATTGTAGCCTTTACCATGGGTTGTGTCACAAATTTTCTCCAACAAAATCTTATAATCATCTCGCGAATTTATTATTTTCATTACGCGTAACTTTCATGTACAATTGCTATAATTTGCTGAATATAATCGTATTTCATCAACAATTGACGCGACTTAGTGTACATTTATGGCGATCCGTTGGCCGTCGGCTAGCAGCTCAACTGGGATTATTAAAAAAAATAATAATAATAAAATTGTAATAAAACTTTATATTGCATTGTGTGAGTTTTAATCGTGTTATCTTCTTGGGGCATTTTTCAATGTTTTTGTAGTAGAAGTTTATATGATTTTATTATAAATTGTTTTTCATTGTGTAACGTGGTAAATACATTATATATTTATAGTTTTAGTTCTGTTCCTTCTTGAACTTTGAATTTTCTTTTTAATGGTAAAAGTGACTCGATTCAGGGCACCGTATGAAGCTAGCGGTAGAAGTGACTTGGTTCAGGGCACCGTACAAGGGTAGCGGTAGAAGTGACTTGATTCAGGGCACCGTACAAGGGTGGCGGTAGTTTTTTTTTTGTAGTTTTTTTTATTATAACATGAGAACGCGGTCTTAAACTTAGCTCACAATAATTTTTCTAGATGCGGAATTTAATTCTTTATTTCCCGGTATCGAAATTTATTGCGAGAAAATTCTGTAACGCGAGTTATAATGATAGTTGTGTGTATACGCATTTGTACTCGTTGCGCTAGGAATTGCAGTTTTATTGTTATAACTCGCGAACGCGGTCTCAAACTTAGTTCGGAATAATTTTCCTAGATGCGGAATTTAATTCTTTATTTCCCTGTATCAAAATTTATCGCGAGAAAATTCCGTAACGCGAGTTATAATGATAGTTGTGTGTATACGCACTTGTACTGGTACTCGTTGCGCTAGGAATTGTAGTTTTTTTGTTATAACTCGCGAACGCGGTCTCAAACTTAGTTCGGAATAATTTTCCCAGATGCGGAATTTAATTCTTTATTTCCCTGTATCGAAATTTATTGCGAGAAAATTCCGTAGCGCGAGTTATAATGATAGTTGTGTGGATACGCACTTGTACTGGTACTCGTTGCGCTAGGAATTGTAGTTTTTTTGTTATAACTCGCGAACGCGGTCTCAAACTTAGTTCGGAATAATTTTCCCAGATGCGGAATTTAATTCTTTATTTCCCTGTATCGAAATTTATTGCGAGAAAATTCCGTAACGCGAGTTATAATGATAGTTGTGTGTATACGCACTTGTACTCGTTGCGCTAGGAATTGTAGTTTTTTTGTTATAACTCGCGAACGCGGTCTCAAACTTAGTTCGGAATAATTTTCCCAGATGCGGAATTTAATTCTTTATTTCCCTGTATCGAAATTTATTGCGAGAAAATTCCGTAGCGCGAGTTATAATGATAGTTGTGTGGATACGCACTTGTACTCGTTGCGCTAGGAATTGTAGTTTTTTTGTTATAACTCGCGAACGCGGTCTCAAACTTAGTTCGGAATAATTTTCCCAGATGCGGAATTTAATTCTTTATTTCCCTGTATCGAAATTTATTGCGAGAAAATTCCGTAACGCGAGTTATAATGATAGTTGTGTGTATACGCACTTGTACTCGTTGCGCTAGGAATTGTAGTTTTCTTGTTATAACTCGCGAACGCGGTCTCAAACTTAGTTCGGAATAATTTTCCTAGATGCGGAATTTAATTCTTTATTTCCCTGTATCGAAATTTATTGCGAGAAAATTCCGTAACGCGAGTTATAATGATAGTTGTGTGTATACGCATTTGTACTCGTTGCGCTAGGAATTGCAGTTTTATTGTTATAACTCGCGAACGCGGTCTCAAACTTAGTTCGGAATAATTTTCCCAGATGCGGAATTTAATTCTTTATTTCCCTGTATCGAAATTTATTGCGAGAAAATTCCGTAACGCGAGTTATAATGATAGTTGTGTGTATACGCACTTGTACTCGTTGCGCTAGGAATTGTAGTTTTTTGTTATAACTCGCGAACGCGGTCTCAAACTTAGTTCGGAATAATTTTCCCAGATGCGGAATTTAATTCTTTATTTCCCTGTATCGAAATTTATTGCGAGAAAATTCCGTAACGCGAGTTATAATGATAGTTGTGTGTATACGCACTTGTACTCGTACTGCGCTAGGAATTGTAGTTTTTTGTTATAACTCGCGAACGCGGTCTCAAACTTAGTTCGGAATAATTTTCCCAGATGCGGAATTTAATTCTTTATTTCCCTGTATCGAAATTTATTGCGAGAAAATTCCGTAACGCGAGTTATAATGATAGTTGTGTGTATACGCACTTGTACTCGTTGCGCTAGGAATTGTAGTTTTTTGTTATAACTCGCGAACGCGGTCTCAAACTTAGTTCGGAATAATTTTCCCAGATGCGGAATTTAATTCTTTATTTCCCTGTATCGAAATTTATTGCGAGAAAATTCCGTAACGCGAGTTATAATGATAGTTGTGTGTATACGCACTTGTACTGGTACTCGTTGCGCTAGGAATTGTAGTTTTTTTTGTTATAACTCGCGAACGCGGTCTCAAACTTAGTTCGGAATAATTTTCCCAGATGCGGAATTTAATTCTTTATTTCCCTGTATCGAAATTTATTGCGAGAAAATTCCGTAACGCGAGTTATAATGATAGTTGTGTGTATACGCACTTGTACTGGTACTCGTTGCGCTAGGAATTGTAGTTTTCTTGTTATAACTCGCGAACGCGGTCTCAAACTTAGTTCGGAATAATTTTCCCAGATGCGGAATTTAATTCTTTATTTCCCTGTATCGAAATTTATTGCGAGAAAATTCCGTAACGCGAGTTATAATGATAGTTGTGTGGATACGTACTTGTACTCGCTGCGCTAGGAATTGTAGTTTTCTTGTTATAACTCGCGAACGCGGTCTCAAACTTAGTTCGGAATAATTTTCCCAGATGCGGAATTTAATTCTTTATTTCCCTGTATCGAAATTTATTGCGAGAAAATTCCGTAGCGCGAGTTATAATGATAGTTGTGTGTATACGCATTTGTACTCGTTGCGCTAGGAATTGTAGTTTTCTTGTTATAACTCGCGAACGCGGTCTCAAACTTAGTTCGGAATAATTTTCCCAGATGCGGAATTTAATTCTTTATTTCCCTGTATCGAAATTTATTGCGAGAAAATTCCGTAACGCGAGTTATAATGATAGTTGTGTGTATACGCACTTGTACTCGTTGCGCTAGGAATTGTAGTTTTCTTGTTATAACTCGCGAACGCGGTCTCAAACTTAGTTCGGAATAATTTTCCCAGATGCGGAATTTAATTCTTTATTTCCCTGTATCGAAATTTATTGCGAGAAAATTCCGTAACGCGAGTTATAATGATAGTTGTGTGTATACGCACTTGTACTCGTTGCGCTAGGAATTGTAGTTTTTTGTTATAACTCGCGAACGCGGTCTCAAACTTAGTTCGGAATAATTTTCCTAGATGCGGAATTTAATTCTTTATTTCCCTGTATCGAAATTTATTGCGAGAAAATTCCGTAACGCGAGTTATAATGATAGTTGTGTGTATACGCATTTGTACTCGTTGCGCTAGGAATTGTAGTTTTTTTGTTATAACTCGCGAACGCGGTCTCAAACTTAGTTCGGAATAATTTTCCCAGATGCGGAATTTAATTCTTTATTTCCCTGTATCGAAATTTATTGCGAGAAAATTCCGTAACGCGAGTTATAATGATAGTTGTGTGTATACGCACTTGTACTCGTTGCGCTAGGAATTGTAGTTTTTTTGTTATAACTCGCGAACGCGGTCTCAAACTTAGTTCGGAATAATTTTCCTAGATGCGGAATTTAATTCTTTATTTCCCTGTATCGAAATTTATTGCGAGAAAATTCCGTAACGCGAGTTATAATGATAGTTGTGTGTATACGCACTTGTACTCGTTGCGCTAGGAATTGTAGTTTTCTTGTTATAACTCGAGAACGCGGTCTCAAACTTAGTTCGGAATAATTTTCCCTGATGCGGAATTTAATTTTTTATTTCCCTGCATCGGAATTTATTGCGAGAAAATTCCGTAACGCGAGTTATAATGATAGTTGTGTGTATACGCATTTGTACTCGTTGCGCTAGGAATTGTAGTTTTCTTGTTATAACTCGCGAACGCGGTCTCAAACTTAGTTCGGAATAATTTTCCCAGATGCGGAATTTAATTCTTTATTTCCCTGTATCGAAATTTATTGCGAGAAAATTCCGTAACGCGAGTTATAATGATAGTTGTGTGTATACGCATTTGTACTCGTTGCGCTAGGAATTGTAGTTTTCTTGTTATAACTCGCGAACGCGGTCTCAAACTTAGTTCGGAATAATTTTCCCAGATGCGGAATTTAATTCTTTATTTCCCTGTATCGAAATTTATTGCGAGAAAATTCCGTAACGCGAGTTATAATGATAGTTGTGTGTATACGCATTTGTACTCGTTGCGCTAGGAATTGTAGTTTTCTTGTTATAACTCGCGAACGCGGTCTCAAACTTAGTTCGGAATAATTTTCCCAGATGCGGAATTTAATTCTTTATTTCCCTGTATCGAAATTTATTGCGAGAAAATTCCGTAACGCGAGTTATAATGATAGTTGTGTGTATACGCATTTGTACTCGTTGCGCTAGGAATTGTAGTTTTCTTGTTATAACTCGCGAACGCGGTCTCAAACTTAGTTCGGAATAATTTTCCTAGATGCGGAATTTAATTCTTTATTTCCCTGTATCGAAATTTATTGCGAGAAAATTCCGTAACGCGAGTTATAATGATAGTTGTGTGTATACGCATTTGTACTCGTTGCGCTAGGAATTGTAGTTTTTTTGTTATAACTCGCGAACGCGGTCTCAAACTTAGTTCGGAATAATTTTCCTAGATGCGGAATTTAATTCTTTATTTCCCTGTATCGAAATTTATTGCGAGAAAATTCCGTAACGCGAGTTATAATGATAGTTGTGTGTATACGCACTTGTACTCGTGTACTCGTACTCGTACACTTGTACTCGTGTATGTCGGTTATTTCAACATTGTGAAATTTTAGTTTGGTCTTCTCAACTACGGGTTTATCACTACGTTTGTTATAAACAACTTTTTTGTTCGACTGACGCGTATTATCGCGACGTACCTGCCTTGTACATTGCAACGCGCAGCATACACCGTAGTCGTTACACCGCGTGGTCCGCAGTCGTGTCCCTCTAATCGCCACGCGTTTTGAGGTTTTAATTGGATTAATCGACGTGTATTCTTTCGGCCATCATCAAAATATTCGGGACGGGCATGTGCGGCTGTTTTGTTTAATGATTTGTCGCGGTTAGAGTCTTCTTAACTAAGAAATAAGTGTTTGTTTATCCCTACGCGAGTTTTTCTCATCAATGCAAAGGTACGTGTGTAATAAATTTTTTCCACGGAAACTTAAGGCGGTGTAACTAAAATTGATTATTCCATTTGAGGGATATTAATTTTGCTTGTATTATCTTGCAAATTACAAACACGTGGTTCCATTCCTATCAGAATTATTAGTCCCGTTTCCGAAAATAACATGCATGATTTAATTATTACAAAGACGGTTTTAAAAATTATCTGTGGATTATTAAAATGACAATATTCATGTGGTCGACCGCGCTCAGTTTGCCGTCGGCCGTCGGCTCGGTCATCTTTTCGCTGAACACGTGAACGTTTTTAATCGAATTGCACTTGTTAGCATCATTAAATTAAGAAGTCTCTTGTTGACGTAATAAAATCTTGTACGGTGAATAGTTCTTCGTTTTCGTAGTCTCCGTATATCTTAATATTTACAAAGAATTACCTAGTTATTTTTATCGTATTTAAAGACAGTAATGCCACGCGCCGTCGCTTGCCGTCTGTTGATTTAGATGTTTTCCACCGGATATTCTATCAATTTATGATGATGCTTCACCCGTCGGTTTAATTAATTAATAAATATATATTCACAATATATTAAAATGTAATTGTTATTTTTTCTAGCAACTTTTAATATATATTAAAATAATGTTGTTTCCATATAAATTTCGATCATTTTCTGAAATCTTTTAACACCCTGTATATTAGTTTTCCTAACCGCACATAGAAGATTGTCTTTATTTGTGAGTTTTGAATGTTCATTGTTTTGAACTTGGGATTTTCTTTCTGGTACACCCTGTATATTAGTTTTCTTTTGTGTCCGTGAAAATTTTGCTTCAACTGTTGTTTTTAGGATTTTCCTTTTTGCACTTTGAATTTTCTTTCTAAAACACCCTGTATATTAGTTTTCCTGATCGTCTAGAGAAAAGGAGCGACGTTTGTAGTGATAGTGATAGTTTTTTGTTTGCGTTGTAAATTTTCTTTTTGTAACACCCTGTATATTTGTTTTCATTTTCAATCACATAGAAAATAGGCTATTTGTTAATTTCATTATCCCGGTAGAACTTTACAAAGTAGTACTTGTTTGCATGTGCGCGACTATGCAGGTCGTAAGTCCTGCTTCAATATGGCGGCACGTATTCTGTTGACTTGTAAAATATAAACTTGTATTCTATTGTAAATAAATAAATAGTAAGATATATTTACTTCTTTGATTTGTGCGTACCCCTTCTATCACTACAGGCACAGGTCTCTAAGAGAGTTCCCTCTCTCAGAGGATGATTCCACTATAAAAATTGTTAAGGTATTAAACTTGTATTATATTACATTGTGTTTATTAATAAAGAAATGTTTAGAAATAGTATGTCTTATGCTTTGAATGTACCCCTTCTATCATTTCAGGTACAGGTCTCTAAGAGAGTTCCCTCTCTCAGGGGATGATCCCCTCTATAAAAATTGTTAAGGTAACCTGTATGATTTGTGTGCTCCATCTTTCATTTCAGCTACAGGTCAGAACTTGTAAGAATATTTCTTAGTGTCACCTCTCTTGAGGCGACTTAAAACTTAGAAATATTTGAACAAGACCTTATAAGGATTGTCCTTATAAGGAGTTCCCTCTCTCTGGGGGTGATCCCCCACCATAAAAATTGTTGATATGCCTGATAATTCCGGGGATGAAGCGCAGAGACATCGTAGCTGTAGGATGGGCCGGGAGCAATGGACGGATCGAAGCTCTGGTCGATCGACAGTAGACTGTCTTATAACGACACGTGCCAAAAAATTTAAAAATTCCGTCACCCCTATTCTCTCTTCCTTCTATCTCCTCCTCTTCTCTACTCTGTTCTCTTCCTTCTGTCTTCTACTCTTTCTCTGCTACTCCTTTCTTCTTCTTCCAATTCTCTGTTCCCGCTCCTCCACTTACTTTCTTATTTCTCATATTGCCTTCACTTGTATTTCAATTTCTCTTATATTTCGTTGCAATTCATATATGCAACCCAAATTTCACCTGATATTTTTATATTTGAGAAAAATGCCTTCCACACCTGAGATTCGATCCGTGTCTGCTAGCATGCCAGCAGGTGCACGTCTCCACTCGACCACCGAGTGTTTTTGTTATTAATATTTGATTCTTCTATTTATGTTTCTACTTTTATCATGTTTTTAAAAACAACAACACAAGCCTTAGCTATGTTGCACACGCTCCACGCGCATAAGACTTACATGCAATATGACTTAAGACGTCAATCCTGAAAACGACAATGGGGATACCAAGACGAAACATAAAGAAGTTTATAATATTACAATGTGTTTTATTGTCAATATTCACAATTACACACATTTTTACAATAGAAAAACACAGGCGAATAATAAATCTCGTTGCAGTAAAGACTTATGTTGAAATACGAAGTTTACAAGTATTATTAATTGTGTTTTATTGACTACATTGAAAAATACATAATTTGTTTTAATCGAAAATCATGGAAAACGAAAATCATTGATATTATATCTCCTGAAAGTAAAACTTGCCTTGAAATACGCGCACCTCCAACATTTCTGCGTAGAATTCAGCAAACTCCTTGGGACATGTGATCGTAAATTTCTTCAGCGGGCACCAACGTTGCTTATTTGCAGTAATTAAACATAAATACAAGTTATTAGTGCGTGTGGATACGCACATTGTTCACACATAGATCAGCACGGCTGCAGGGTAATTCCACAAGTGAGAAACAAGCACCGGCGGCCGACGGAAGAGTTCACACGCGCATAGTTGAATCGCCGATTGATCCGCGATGGATGAACATTCAACGCATGCTATCTCACTAGCAAAACCGCACTCACATCAGATTTCAGTAAAAGCTGTCGATTATTTATTGAACATTCCGCGATTAATCTAATTATGATCTGAAGAAAGAAAGCTAGTCGCAATAAACACGCGCTATTCACCCGACGACCGAAATGGAACTGCGTGTACGTTGAATTGCACACAGCCGATAGCAACTGCACGCGGTTACTATCACAATTGAAATAGCGATAGTGTTTGCTGAAGGCGAACAAAAAAATTGTTTACATGCATTTATGCCTGTGTTGGCACTACTAGCGGCAGCGAAATACTACAAACTGTTACCGAGGTCAAACGTGGAATTGTTAGTATCTGCTGCCAAATTCTATTTCAACTAATAATAAATTTAATTATTCCTCTGATCAAACTTTTAAAAAATTAACACGCTACTGCCATCTACACATGACATGGTTAATGAGGAACCAAACAAACCAAACGGATGCATCAAGTCGCCTTGATAAATCATACAAACAAACGTTAATTTTCACTAATAATCGAATCAAATAAAATCACTGCAAAATGCATCCACCGGCGGCTGATAAGGCGCAACTTGCCGCAGTGCTTCAAATTCTGAAAAAGTACAATTTAAAGGTAATAATCAGTAATAATTAAATGCTAACCTGTTTATCTTACTTAATATTACCTTATATTTTAAACAACAAACAGGGCACTGAGGAACTTCTGAAAAAGAAGCAAACATCGATATAAATATCGAAGGTCAAGAATCCGATGTAAGCAGCGTCCTTACAGGCTACAAAAGTGATGGAGATCCAGAAAAGTATGAAGATTCCTACGTAGAACTCAAGCGTTTTGTGGAAAGCTCCCTAGACATTTACAAACATGAACTAGGAATGATACTCTATCCAATATTAGTACACATGTACCTAGAATTGGTCTACAATGGCCACCAGGAGAAAGCCATAGCCCTAATGAAGAAGTTTGGCCCTGAACAAGATTTCTACTATCAGGATGATTTGAAAAAACTAGCACTGGTCACAAAAAGAGACCACATGAATGGAAATGAGCTAACAGACACATTTAAATCAAATCAATTCATCATCAGAATGTCCAGGGATACATTATCACTACTCAAGAGGCATTTGCATGACAAGAAAGCTTCTGTACTAATGAACATAGTGCAGGAACACTTGTATTTTGACATGTATGAAGGTGTTGCAAGAAATAAAACACAGATTGATGCCACATCAGGGGCAATGATTGGTGAAGCCACCAGACAGGATAACAAGTCAAAGGTTTATTATGGTATACCCAAAGCTCCAGATATTCAATCACTTGCAGCTGCACCTGCAGAAGACGAGGACGACAATGACGGCGAACCGGACAAACCAAAAAAGAAAAAGGCTAAGAAAGATCCCTTGTTTTCAAAGAAAACAAAAGTGATCCTAATGCACCGCCTCAGGACAGAATACCAATTCCTGATCTGAAGGATAATGATAAGGTGGAGAAAGTAAAGGCTCTTCGCGAGGCGTCGAAGCGTGTTAATCTGAACGCTGATACACAACCGTCGATTTGTTGCTACACTCTGCTAAACGCAAATCACACGTAATTACTAAATTTTACAAACCTAAACAAATGTTTCATAATTTAATATTTATAATCATTTTCAGAGTTAGCTGTGCGGATATAACTGAAGACTCAAGCATGTTAGCCGTTGGATTTTCAGACTCTTTAGTTAAAGTCTGGACATTGGTTCCACAAAAGTTACGCGCGCTGAAAACAGCTTCACAATTGCAAGATATCAACATTGAAGCAGAGGATGTTTTGGTAATGTTAATACAAACCGCTGAATAATAATTTAATTAATATTTACCTGTTGCATTAGGTAAGGATGATGGATGAAAGGTCAGGAGAAACAGCGCGTTCACTTTACGGTCACAGCGGCAACGTATATGCCGTTTCATTCTCACCCGACCGCACATTACTCCTCAGTTGCTCAGAGGATTCCACAGTGCGCCTCTGGAGTTTACAAATCTGGACTTGTTTGGTGGTGTACAAAGGCCACATGTTTCCAATCTGGGATGTAAAGTTCTCACCGCATGGTTATTACTTCGCCACGGCTTCCTATGATAGAACCGCTCGATTATGGGCGACTGATCATTACCAACCATTGAGAGTATTCGCCGGCCATTTCTCAGACGTTGATGTCATACAATTCCATCCGAATTCGAATTATATTGCAACTGGTTCAAGTGACCGTCGTGTCTGCCTCTGGGATGTCACGAATGGAAATCATGTGCGGCTGATGACGGGTCACAAGTCCCCGATCCACACCTTGGCCTTCAGTATTTGCGGGCGTTATCTCACATCGGCTGGAGCGGATTGCAACATTTTGATTTGGGACCTTGCACATGGTCACCTCGTGGCTGAGTTGAATGGCCACACCAAACCGATACATTCTCTAACGTTTAGTCGATGTGGTAATGTGTTGGCGTCAGGGTCGCTTGATTGCAACATCAAAATGTGGGACTTTAATAAACTGGTCGAGGAGTGCAGCTCAGAAGATGTGAATATTTCGCACAATCCTGAAGTGAAGACTGGGGACAGCTATATGTTATGGACATACGCGACGAAAAACAGTCCGTTGTTGCATTTGCACTTTACAAGAAGGAATCTACTCTTAGCTGTTAGCATGTTTGATGGAATTGCACCAATTCCTTAAAGCTTTGTTTAGTATTCTCTTTTTTTAACATATATATTCTTTTTGTATTATGTATATAAAATTGAATAAATTGCAACAAATATATGGCAAGAATCCAAACGTGATTTTGTTTCTCGAAGCCGCTTTACCAAATATATAAACTCTCATAACAAACTCACATTCTCACTATTGTATCTCATGTGTTCCGCTTTACTTACTTTGTACGTTCATTTGTTTCATATTCTGGGTTTGTGTGTGTGTGCGTGTATGTGTGATTATTGCGCGGGATGACTATGGGTTGACTGGACCATCTGGCGAGCTTCCTCGGGTAGCTTTTCAGGCTCTGATAGAATATCAGTTTTGGTGCATACATATCTCAAAGAATTGAGAACAACTGCAAATATAAATACAAAATGTAAAATGGAGGTTAATGAAATAAATTGTGGCTTACTTGGTCGAAGATCAACTAAAGTACAATGCTGCTCAACCCAAAGCATCGTTGATCTGTACAGATCATCCATACTCGTCGTGGATACCACATTGTTGAATGTCGTCAAAAGTGGTCGGAAAAGAAGGCTGAAAATCCAGAATTTCCAGTCTTCCGCCGTCCGCGTGCGCACGTACTCGTCAAACATTTCTTGTAGTTTGTTATCGCGCCGGCGCGAGACTGGTGCGCCGGTTGCGGGCAACAGTGATTGGCAGTTACTGAAAATTGAATAATAAATTTAAGAATAACTGTCGGATAAATATTTTACCTAATCGAAGTGTTTAACGCCTCAATTTGTTGTCTTAAACTGTCCATTTCTTCGGTAAGCATGTTTCGCTCAGCTCGTAATTGTTTTATATACTCTGCACCTTTTTGTAACATAGCTGCTTTACTTAACTGAACTGTTTTATATACTCTGCACCTTTTTGTAACATAGCTGCTTTACTTAACTGAGAAAAAAAAAACAATTTATAACAAATCATTCAAATTTTTAGTAAATTACTTACTTTAGCATTAGGATTTTGATTTAAATGCGGAATAAGCGAGTGGATCATATCGAAACCGTTCTTAATATTATAGCGTCGTTTTTGTTCGGCATGGATATGACCAGCGCGTCGAGAATCCCGACTTGAATCACGAGTTGGGCTGCCCATCGAATCCTGCGATGGGGTGGGTGAATTTAGACATGTTTCTGGAAGACCTGGACTACTGTTCGATGCATTTATTGTGTTGATCATTAACTGAAAATAAAAATCATAAAAACAAATTGATTTCAACTTTTATTCTGCAACTTACAGGATCAATGTTGACTGTCTGCCGTATTGGTGTCATACTCACGGGTGTGAGTATAAGGGTCGTGGGCGCAGGTTGTGGCAAAATGGAGATTGGTGTCACCTCCTCTTTAACGCGCACAAAACTGGCGCTTTTGCGCTCAAGCGGCATAATAACCCGCGATGCGCTCAACGTCGAAGCACCGTCGTTATCTTCATGTGAAAAAATCCTTAATGAAGTATATCAGCAATAAATAAAATTGAAAAAGTTTACTTTTAAGTAGCTGCGTCAACAAGGCACTGTTGCTGGAAGTGATAAGCGATGGATCACTGACGGCCGAGAGGAGCGGCGGCTTTTTTAAAGGTTCACGTGTGTTGGATCTTGAGCGTGGCCTGCCTCTTGCGTTTCGTGGTTTTACAACCTTATTGTCGTCTTTCTACTCACACAAATAAAAAAAAATTAAATGAAAATAGTAAAAGAAAGATTTAAAACTCACTTTGGCTTCAAGTGAATGCGAATTAAAATGCGATTGAGCGTCGTTACCACCTGAAGTGGTTTGTGATGTAAATTTAATGCTGGGCAACGTCGGCGCCCCAAATTTATAGCTTTGCGTCGGTGGTTGCTGCGCTAAATGTGTGGAATTGGGCATTTTGTAATTGCCCATATCATGAGTATCTAAAATTATTATTTATAAACCAATAAATTATATATTTTAAAGATAAAATGGTAAAAATACCTTGAATTTGATTAGAAGTATAACTAGGACTCGCTGCAATATTGACTTGGTTAATTTGGTTCACTTGGTTGACGTGCGACATGAAAGGTTTCGTAGGCATAGGCACAAGATCCATCGAATGCGCTTTACGCTGTGTGGGTTGCGGTGGTTTTGAGATCATCGGCGCAAACATGGCAGGGTCAGCGTAGTCCAGCGTCGGTGGCGGCTTTACAGGGACATGTTGGGGTCGTGGAGGTGGTGGCAGCTGAGGCGGTTGCATTGGATATGTTTCGATTGGAAGGTTTACAGGTGGATGAACCTAAATTTAAAAATAATCAGCATAAAATAATTAATAACTTAAAGAAAAACTTACTGGTATACTGCTACTTGATAAGTTCCCATAATCCGGGTACCACATGTCGTTTTTAAAAGCAACAGCCTGGTGGTGTTCTTCAGGTACAGTAGCAAGTCTTCCACAAATCAAATCTAGAATTAAATTTAAATAAAATTTGACACTACTTTCGCGTATTTATTTAATAAAAATTCAAAACAAACCTTGGAATGGTTCAAATGTATCCATGTAGTCCTCCAAATTGGGCTGCAGAGGTCCCAAGCTCGGTTGGATAAAATCGGCCAAACCAGCTTTCGCTGTTCCACGCAAAACAAATCACCAAAAGCAAAAATCAACACAAAACACGCCACAATAAAAATGTATACACACCAATTTCTCGAGTATCGGGAAAAGGAAACGGTTGATTTGTTATCGTCGAAAAAGCGTATCACTCATCAACCCCATGTAATCCTCATCCACCATCATGTTCTCGTCCATTGGTTGCGCATTCCATGATAACAATTCTAACTCGAGCTAAAAAATTCAAAAAAAAATACGCATCAAAAGATAGGCAACCCACGCATTTTTATTTTATGTCTTACCATGTCTGCAGCATCTTTGTTGTGTCCCATCACTTGATTGCGATAAAACATTCGCCATTTCTTGTACTCAGCGGTAACAGCCGCCAATTTACGCTTCCAATATTTACCCTCGAGCACAACCGCCTCCGGTTTGTTGTGCGTGTCGACATCTAGCGGCGACGCAAATTGGCAAATCATCGTATTGCGCTTCTTTATGACTATAACAACAAAACAACAAAACCCGTTATGCCATTTGATCGCTCTCCACAACATAACAAACTATACTATGAGCAATAAATGCTTTTCATTTCATTACACAAAAGTTGCTTTATGATTTATGTATGCACTTATGATTATGAAAACTTAAATGCGTTTTATGAAGATTAGAACGTACACTGCATGTGCCAGCATCTCCAAATGACGTTGTTCAGTCGTATTTTGTCCTTCCAGCGCAGTCGTATGCCACGGAACCGATTCCATTTGGGTGAAGTTAGTTTTTGCCTAGAAAAACCATGCGGTATTAGAACGAGTGACAATCTAGTAACTTTTGTTTGCTTAATGTTTGCTCAAAACATTTGAACTTCCAACAATTCAAACAAACTCAGATAATTACACACACACACACACAAGTTGTAAGTAAACAATAGAATCAAACGTATAAATTCGTCTCAAAAGATTAAAAACCGGATTAAACCGTGTTATTTATCTTGAATATAATCTAACCCGAAAATTAGTTCACGTTTTTATATATATTTTGTTAATTGTAATTTTATCTTACCTGTATGCAAGCGACATGCATTGAAAGAGTTTCGCCAAACTGGTATCAATACCAATTGGGGGTCTGATTATGAGTTTCCTGCATGTGTTCAGCTTCTGTTTGTTGGGGTCGCTTTTCGCGATTGGCACAATTTCGAATTCGTTCTTGATTTCGGCAACTTCTGGCACAGGCACCGCAAGTTCATCTTCGTCATCCTGTGCTTCGGCCTCAAAATGCGAGACCATAAACTGTCCCGAATGAATCGCTTCCCTTTCAGGTTTGTCCAACTCCACTCCACCGAGCGCCGTCGAAGCAGATGCAAACATTGCACGATGCATCTTCTCGCTGCAAAAGATGATTAAATGTTAATTAAATGGTGTTTTGTTAGTTGTTGGTTGATGTTTTATTGAATATCGAAAAATGCATTCTGTTTGCATTCATGGCTCGCTCGCTTATCGCCCGTTCATTTGTTTGTTGATAGTTCTCGTTAGCGCGCGTGCAGCGCGCGACGACTCGCGCAGAGATCAAGGATTAATTGGACAAGGGTCAGACACTCGTAAGTCGCGCGGGCTGAAACCGTGCTCTCCCTTTGCCTGCACGCCGTGCACATGCTGGTTTTTCAAACACTTGTTACTCACTTGTTTCGCTTGCTTTTGTTTCTGTTTGTTGTGTGTTTATGCTTATCACAACACTACCTCCTGGTGTCCATCGCTAGGCGCCCTTTGTCTGGCCTGGTTACGCTCGAAAACGGCGTTGTGTACTGCGCGGCGAGAAAGTTGTCGCGGCGCTAGCTGGGAAACAAGCACGACGTGACGCTTATATAATGCGCGTCCGACTAATCCGCGAGCAATCTCGTTCGCGAGGCAGGAGTTCGCAGCGCGACGCTGGCGATGTCAACAAGCATGCTTACTTGCCTCACTGATACCGATTTCGGAAAACAACTGAGGGACCAGAGCGAGCAACCACACGAAACGACGAAAACAGCGAAACAGTGAAACACCTGACAGCTGTCAAAATGTAAACAACACAAATTATACATACACTGTGTTCGTCGGATTAAAGTTTCATTCAAATTAATCTCTTCTATCACTTTATCAGTAAGTTTTCTAATATAATTTAAGCATCATACTGTTTTCAAAAGTTTTAAATAATAAAATAATCAATAATATTGATTTTATACTGTTTAAATTCATAAATATTAATAATTTATACACATTGTGAACAAGCGAACCTTGCGCACCTGTCGACCGTCGACTAAACTAATTCTGACACTGACATCTACACATTCAGCTATCTGACATTCCCAGGAATTAAGGTTAGAGCCGATTTTATCCTAGCACATTTCATTTATAACAAATTTTGAAACAATTTACACCCAAATGTCCTAAAAACAATATGCTCTTAGATTTATCCATTTAAGATTTCGTTGTTTTTCGCTTTGTTTGCTTACTTTTAAGTGGAGTGCCAGCGTGGCATCACTTTAAATGTCCGTTTGGCGAGCGCTGCAATATGCAAGAACCGCAACTATTGCGCGACTTATACCCGCAACTATTATAAGAGCCGGGTCAAGCCTTTCACTCACTAGTAACGCAAAAGTCACGAATTTGTCCTTACAACTCACTTTTAATCACTTTAATAAGAGTTTACCGAGTGTAGTGTGTTATTCTCAGTGGGGTTCAACAAAAAAGCATAGAAAAGTAAAGTTGCAACTGTTTCTAGACACCATGGCCGATCCGCAACACGAGGAGATTCTTGCACCTTTGAGGGCAAATGTTAAAGAACAAGTTAGTATTTTTCTTTAATCACAAATATCAATTAAGTTAATTTTAAATTATTTAAAGGGCGATTTGGTGCGCCAATTGAAAAGTGATGGAGCACCAGATTTAGATGTGAAAAAAGCTGTAGCTGAACTCAAGGCAAGAAAAAAGATCTTAGAAGATAAAGAATTAAGTTTAATTCCACAAGATGCAACTTTTGACAGAGCAAAGATGGAAGACTTGCTCAAGAGGAGATTTTTCTATGATCAGTCTTTTGCTATCTATGGTGGAATCACTGGACAGTTTGATTTTGGTCCTATGGGTTGTGCTTTCAAACAAAATTTGTTACAAAGCTGGCGTCAATTCTTTGTTCTGGAGGAGCAAATGTTAGAAGTGGATTGTACTATCCTAACACCAGAACCCATCCTCAAGTAAGTTTAATTCTCACTTTAAAACTTAAAACATAAAACTTAATTTTATTCAGGGCGTCTGGACACGTGGATCGATTCGCTGATCTAATGACAAAAGATGTAAAATCCGGCGAATGTTTCCGCCTGGATCACTTAATCAAAGCGCACTTGGAAAAACTCTGCGCGGATAAGAAAACATCAGCAGAAACGAAAGCTGAATGTGCCGATATTGTCATCAAGTTAGACGGAATGAACAAATCGGAAATGGCTGCAGTAATGACAAAATACAACATGAAATCACCAATCACCGGCAACGACCTCACCGAACCCATCGAATTCAATTTAATGTTCGGTACACAAATTGGTCCATCCGGATTAATCAAGGGTTTCCTGAGACCGGAAACCGCGCAGGGTATTTTTGTCAATTTCAAACGCTTGTTGGAGTTTAACCAGGGGCGATTACCCTTTGCCGCTGCACAAATAGGTAAGCAACCAATGCAACACGCAACACAAAAGAAAATTAACACTTGATTTTATTAGGAAATGCATTTAGAAATGAAATTTCACCACGATCTGGATTGATTCGAGTGCGCGAGTTCACAATGGCGGAAATTGAGCATTTCTGTGATCCAGTTGACAAGAAACATCCAAAATTCGTTGATGTTGCTGACACTGAAATGCTCTTGTACTCAGCATGTAACCAAATGGACGGTAAACCAGCTGAACGTGTGAAAATCGGAGAAGCTGTTTCCAAAGTAAGCAAACTTCAAACTACAAAGTGTTTATAAATTAAGAGATACATTTTATAAATATTTAGACATTGGTTGCGAATGAAACTCTGGGATACTTCATGGCCAGGATTCAAAAATTCCTGCTACAATCCGGTGTGGATGCTAATAAATTGCGTTTCCGTCAGCACATGGCGAATGAAATGGCTCACTATGCTCAGGATTGCTGGGATGCCGAAATATTAACATCTTATGTAAGCATTCAACTTAAAACAAATTTAACTAATATACATTGATAAATAATTAACAACATTATTTATCAACTTAGGGTTGGATTGAATGTGTTGGGTGTGCAGATCGTTCAGCTTACGATCTCACCCAACACACCAAAGCAACTGGAGTACGCCTCGCCGCAGAAAAGAAACTCGCCGAACCGAAAACAATCGATGTTGTAGAAGTCACCCAGAGAAAGGCATCCTTGGAAAGACATTCAAAAAGGACGCTAAAGTCATAACAGACACTTTAAATAACTTATCTTCTGATGACATCACCGATTTGGATACAAAACTACAATCTGAAGGAAAATATTCTTTAATCGTCGCTGATAAAACTTTCGATTTGACCAAGGAGATGATCAGTGTGAAGAAATATCAAAAACTGTGCATGTCGAAGAGATAACACCGAGTGTAATCGAACCATCATTCGGTATCGGCAGAATAATGTACGCTATTTTTGAGCATAGCTTCAAACAGCGCGAGAATGATGAACAGAGGACTTATCTCTCACTGCCTGCTTCTGTAGCGCCATTAAAATGCAGTGTGCTACCGTTGAGTTCTAATGAAGAGTTTGCTCCATTCATCAAACAGATTTGTAAGTGATAAATCACAAAAATTTAATATAATAAGTAATCTAATCGTTTTGAAAACTATTTTAGCTGCCGCCTTGACTAAAGTTGACGTCTCTCACAAAGTCGATGATAGTTCCGGCTCGATCGGTCGTCGCTATGCGCGCACAGATGAAATCGCCATTCCGTACGGCATTACAATCGATTTTGATACTTTAAAAGAACCAAACAGCGTTACTCTCCGCGAGAGAGACTCAATGGGACAAGTTCGAATTCCCGTACGTATAACTACAATCAATCAGTACTAAAACATCTATTCTTATTCTGTCTATTATCTTACAGTTGAGTGAAATCGCCGAAGTTGTCCACAACTTGTCATACAGTAAACAAGCATGGAAGGACATCTCCGCAAAATACCCCAAGTTTGAACAACAAGAAACCAAGAATTAAAGAATAAAATTCAAGGCAACGCCGAACGTGCGCATTTAATGTATCAGGCCATGTAATGTATTTATAAGATGAAAAATAAACACACCAGGCGTTCAAATATAAGCAGTAACGTTTCTTTAAAAATAATTTCAGAGGATGTGGAATTACTTGTGTATTGAAGAATTGCGAAAGAGAGTATTTGGCATTGTTTTCATTTTCTCTTTGGACAAAACAATTTTATTGTTATTTATAAAATTATGAAGAACTCAAGTCCACTTTATACCATGCCCTGAACACGTCCCGCCCTCTCCCACCCCTTCTCCCATTTGTTCAATTGTTTGCGATATTACGGTTTATCCTACGGCTGCACGCACGCGATCCGCCCCGCGGGCGATACGCATTACTTACTAATTTGTCGATTAGCATCGATTAACGTTATTGAAACCAATCGAATGATTACCGTACGCGAGAAAATTGTGACCAAAAAACGTGATGTGGAAGAGAATAGAAGTAGCATGAAGAGACAAAAAAATCAAGTTGAAATAATAATAAGATGATAATAAGATGTGTACCTTCGCGATGAACGGGCGCGGTTGTAAACGATTGGCGCGTTATTAACATCGAAGAGAACCAAAAATGAAATGTGTACGACGCGAAGAGGTGATGCCTACTCCAGGTCGGGCACCTCCTCATCGTCGGAGTCTTCGCTGCCGCCCATGTCGAGGTCATCAAAGTTGGGTCTGTCGCCGGGTCCACCCATGCCCATGCCACCACCGGCACCGCCGAGTCCGCCCATCCGCCGCATCATCTCTTCGAAGTCACCGCTGCCGCCTGGGCCCATACCGCCGACACCTTCATCGCCGCTCTCGTCTTCGTCCTGCCACTTGTTGAAGTCGCACTTTACCCAATGCAACTTTTGTTTGGTTGAGGTGAGGGACTGCCAATAGGGCTGCTCTTCATCGGCCTTCTGTAACATCAGCTCAATGCAACGCCCGCGATTCCAGAACTTGCTCTTGTCCGGGTCGATGTCGGCAAACAACGGAATTGTCGCTTCGTAACTTTTCTTTTCAACGCCGCCTGTGCCTTTGAAGTATACAGAGTTTTTTGTGAATCTATATTAAAATAAAACAAAATAAAGCAATACATCTTCATATTTTTGTGTAAACAATTTAAATACTTGATGTCTGGATCTTTCACATCCTCTAAGTTAACCGTGACAAGGACGAGTCCTTTTCGCTGCGCCCACATCACCGGTGGAGGTAACCTGCAAGTAGAAATGATTGTGAGGTTAAGTGCGAGTCATGCAGCCATACACGAGCGAGATGCTCCCGTCCGTTGAAAGCGCGTTCCACGCGCGGCTGTAAATACCGCACGGATTCGCGAACGTTCTGGAATCGATACCGTCCGTTCGGGAACCGTGTCGTCCTGCGAGCCACAAGCATTCAACATGGCGTGCACCGCAAACAAGTCTCAGCACAGCGGCACCACCACGTTGATTTCCTCAACGAGCGCACACTCAAAATAATTGCCTAATCTACCTCAACTGCATTCTATGCGTATAAAGTACTTACACTTGTTCAGTCATGCTTGAATGTGTGATATTTTTTCCTAAAAATTAAAAACTGGCGTCGTTTTCCGTATCGCTACGAACAAGGCAGCCGCCGATCTCACTCAACTGAAATGCTTTTCCGCTCGCGAGCGGCGAACACAGTCGATCTGAGCGATAGTGTGTGGCGACACCACGTGGAGAAACTATCAACTTTTCAACTCGTAGTTTGTGGAATATTCCAGAAGATAAACACGACGAATGGAAAATGAGTAATATTATGATTAAAACTTTATCTGCGTGTCGCACGAAACACAAACGAACGAGTGCTTATAATCACTTTTCGTTTTTTGACATAATTTTCAGTCTTGTGTCAACGAATGACAAACGCTCACGGCATTCTGTTTGCTAAGAAATTAATGTCACATGTATAATAAGTTGCCTATCTAATAAAATGACATTTCAAAAAGTAACAAACAACTGAAAATTGCTTTAAAACGCAAAAACAACGCAAAATTTAACAAAACAAAGAAAAACCGTTAATGTTGATAAATACTAAGCACATCCATGTACAAATATGTAGTATTAGTGTGTCAAATATAATTATCACCGTTTTTTCTTCGTCTTCTACTTCTAAGTATCAACTTCTTGCAGTTGTAGCGTAAATTCATTGAGAACTGGGGCCACTGGGGGACGCCGTGGCCGCAGTGGATCGTTGGAAATGGTAGAAAGCAACGGGTGTTGTCGAGGAGGCCGCCGGTGAGTTTCGCACCGGTGTGCTTCAGTCACACAGTCGTGAATCGTGACGCGAGTACACCGCGCGGTGTGAAACTAATGCCGCACGCGGAACGCACGCGCACTGTTTCAGTTTTCAAATCGACAACAATTGCGAGCAGCGCGACAACACGACAACAATTGCGCGTGCATCAAACGGATATACCGTGCGCCAACTGTGCGGATAAAACCAACACCAACAACTATTTCCGCTGTTTTTACACTTCTACATTCAATTAACAATTAATGCAAACAAAATAAAGTGAAATTTTGGTAATATTAAATTAAATTATGTGCACTTGGATTATTTGCATCGCATATTTTTGAATTTCATCGTATTCAACATGTCAGTATTCAAGGATAATAATTTGGTAAGTCTCAAAATATGATATGACCTAAATTTTCACAATTTCCACTTTCGATTAGCGATCGCACCAAAATTAAATTGCTAAACAAACAAAAATTTACAACGACGAAGGTTAAAAACGATCGTTAAAATGTGGAAGTCGTTAAATTAAGTAATAACGTAATCTATGTAATTAACAATTATTAATTACAGCCATAAAATAGTTTTAATCAAAATAAAATACAAAACAAACAGTAGTATTGCTCTACGCGTAATTTTTTATAAATTAATGAAGTTATTACAAGTTATTAACAGCGCGCTTTCCTTTAATCTGTTTAATCCTTTCATCGGTGCGTTCAATTGATGCACACACGTAAATTATAAGTCAAGCCGAGAAGTAAATTATTGCAATTTAGATGAAATTACTATCCGGTCATCAGCCGCGGCCTTTCATCGCGATTAGGAAATCAAGAAGCGACAAGCGCGGTGTGAAGAAATTTCGATAGAAAAGTTATTAATAATAACTTACATTAACCTATGCAGAAGTAATAGTAGAGTAAATTTAAAATTGGAGCGAAAGCATTAGTGGAAGACGAATATTTATGAGACTAAAATTAAAGATGTCAAATAATTTGTCAAATAATATTGGGAAATTGCACTGCGGTGCAAAAAGTGATTCATTAATAATAAGAATAATAATAAAATACTCAGAGTGAATCAATTTTCATGAATGAGTAACTTTTTATTATGTCATTCTTTATTTTTATGTGGTTTTATAAATTAAAAGCACTTGTAGTGATTTATTTAATGATTTGTCTATTTTGAGGTTATTTCAATGTCATTAATGTCGTATTTTACGCATAAGTGTATAAAAATGCATATTTACACGTTGATATATAATTATTTTATAAACTTTTCCTTTTATGATTAATTAATCATCGTAAATTAATATTCCTACATCAAACATGTGTTCGCAATGTTTGCACACATATCAAACATGATGCGTGGTAAGCTGATTTGATCCCAGATAGAAAATCAACAAGTGATTGAGCGGGAAAGCCGAGGAAAAGCGCGGCGTGCGACAAATTTATAAATGCGTATGAATGAAAGTAATAAAGCCGTCAGTGCGCAACATGTGTTCGAAATCGATTCATGATTGTAAGCATTGCGGTGCACACATTTCAATAAATTATTATTTATCACGGCGATAAATAGATCGATCGAGGTAGAGAATTATTCATGCTCTAAATATTTATTGTATGCGACGTGAAAGAACGTCGTGAAATTAATGTTAAGATTATTCTTTTTTTATTTATACTTGTGTGTGCGGTATATTGTTGGTGTTAACCGTAATAAATGCGTTTTTTGCAGCAATATTCACACACGACGAGATACATATTATTAGCCACTTGCCACCGACGAGCAAGTGTAATTTTATAGCCGAGTAGCAAGGTCGTTTTGTTTTAACACCGCGTTGGGTATTTATACGTGTAGACTAGATATACGAATACTCGCAATTTTGTGTGTTGTCACAGATAATTACTCAAGTAAATAAAATTTTGCCGGGAGGATATTAGTAATACCCTTAAATAAACTTGACAATTAGTAACTTATTCATTTTTAAAAACGTGCTTCAAAGAGATATTACACTATCTACGTTGAATAAAAAAGTATATTAAGTATCAAGAGCGCTAAACGGCACTTTAACAACGTTTTGTGACGTGATGCTTGTGCTATTTTTTCTATTTCCATTGAATTTCCGTGACTAATGTACTTTAGTCACGGCTTTGGCTATTCGTGATTAAATTGTCATTTTTCATGTCTCAAAACCGTGCAAAAAGTGGTGTTTTAAAGGTGAAATTAGAAAAACATTAATTTTTGTTTTGGTTTGGTATTACTTGAGCAATATATTAGTATTTTTAAAGAACTGAATATTTACAAGTAATTTTCCGTACAAAATACCAATCTACAAATAATTCACTGATTTTGGTTGATAGTTAATTACATTTCTCATGGTTATTGTCCAAACAATACGCGAATTGCTTAATTGGGAAGTCGTAGAGCATTATAGTCGTAAAATCAAGATAAGACATGTGAAACTTATCCAACAATTCAGTTGTTATTACTTACTTACTTACACAAAAGTACTGCATGGATATTATAAATTAGTTTCGAGTTTGTGGCGAATTTCACAAAGCCTTCTAACATACAAATACGCGCATGTGTATATTTGGTGGGTAGTGAAGTGAAGTGAAGTACGTGAGGAAGCGTTCAGGGACAGATGGCAGAGGGGCTTCCAAGGGCACGACGACAAAACAGACAAAGCAGAAAGAAAGAAAGAAAAAAAGAAGAGAAGAAGAGATGGGAAATGTTATATAATACACGTGCCAGACGTTGCCAGCAAAGTGTACCTTCATATTCTTGCTTTATTTTACGTTACAAGAGCGTTGAAGAACATGCGCTTTTTGTAGATGCCAAAAATAAACGTCAAACAGATGAAAAACAGGTGTAGAAGAAGAAAAACAAAAATAAGGGCTGATTAAGAAGAATTTACTTAAAAACATAAAATTGTTTAAAAACTGATTAAATGTTAACAATTTATTGATTTATGCATTGTTAGAATAACTATGCAATTATCAACACCATATTAATATTTAATTAATACCCACAAGTATAGAATGTCTCAATTTAATATAGAATGCACAAAGTGGCAATTAAACTCGCGCTTGCGCAAAGTGGCAGTTGCATTTTCAATTTCGAGTTGAACGTTTTGCAAATTGCAATAATTTCCAATCGAATTTGCAATTGAAATCAAAATTTGTAATCGCGAAAGGTAGGCGGATACCCAACATTGCAACTTGCATCGCTACTTACAAGTAAGTAAAGTGTCAGCGCGCTGAATGCAGCAATTGTTTTATTATAATACTTACACATTAAAAAAAAACGAGTGAGCGTGCTAAGGAACATGCAAAAATGCACTTCGCTGTAAAGTTAAACTATACGCGTGGTGAAAACTGAAAAGGCGAACGTACAAAGTCGTGATATTTTTAATCGCTTCGAGTTCAGTCGGTTCACTGAAGTAACACAGGTAAATTTTAATCACCGATTGCAATGCAATGCAATTGCTGTTGTTGTTGTGTATGGCAATTGCAACGATTGCAATTGGTTTGAGATTTTCGACATTTAAAACTAATTATAAAACGCTTACCTTGCACATTTTGCAGTTTAAAGTTAAGAATATAGTCATCTGAACCAAAAAAAAAAAATAAAAAATAAAATTTTGTTTAATATTGACCACCAAAATAATAAATGAGAACAAAAGTATGACATTTTACGCTTTCATGATGCCCCACAATGCCAAACATTTCATACTAATTGTATATATGCGAATGATTCAACGTGAAACAAGAACAACTCGATGACAATTCGAAACGAACAAAAATACATCCAGAATTGAATCTGTTTGAATTAAAACAGACCAAACAACACACTTCAACCTACAAACTGTTTATTTTAAGCTCAATATTTTTAAACTGAAGAGTGATGAGTGAAAAATCCAAGAAAACCCAAGAACACTTGAGTTTTATAGCTCCTAAAAGTATGCAACTCATTATACGTACACACATAACCTAAAATTGCATTTTTACAGTTAGTAATATAAGTAGCAATAGCAATAATAATGAATATTTTATTTTACTGCGTTGCTTTGTGGTTGATGTTGATGGCTGACAGAAAAACAGTAAAATGTGTAGGTACAAGGAAATGATTTCAGTTTCCTTCATGTTGTGATGCGAGATGTGACCGGAGTTGTTCTTGTTCTTGAAACCTCCGTTGGCTTTTATTTCTAGTTTTTTCCTTGTGTTTACGGTTCGGTTCTTGATCATACTTTGTTTTTCTGTCAGTTTTATACATTTCTACAACTGCAACCAACCACACAATCGTCAAATGTAACAAATCTCGTTTTTTTTTTATTTCTTCAAAACAGGAAACGCTCAATATTCGACTTCTTGTGAGTTGTATGCTGTTATTATTTATGATTACCGGGAATTATAACACAAAATGCGTAAAAATGAAC